TCGTGCTTATTATTGTTAATTCTTTACCAGTCAAGTTGGACTTTGAAGACATAGTTGATATTTTAATTGTGAATTTTAGTAGATTTTGAAAAATTTAAATTTGTAAAAAATACAATCCGACTTTTATGATAATAAAAAATAATATTCGTTAAAGCTTTCACAAGTGCGCAAGAATTTTTTTCATTTTTTAAAGTGCAGTCTGAATCAATATAAAAATTTGCATTGAAGCTCAAAGACTCAGGTTGCTAGCGAACGATGCAAAATTCCATGGCTGACGAAGGGTTAATAATGTTTACCTAACGTTTTTTCTCAGAAATTATTTCGCGGTTAATCCTGACGCGAATGCAAAACATTGATACTATGCAATAACATTTGATACGGTCGTTTGCTAAGCGCTCTTATTACAAAAACTGATTCATGGACGCGAATAATTCAACGCACGCTGTTAATCCAACGGAATTTGGACGCAGTTTCACACAATTTGGTTAATGTTCATCTTTATCAACGCAGATTAACTTTAATCTTGGTTTAATTTACTCTTTATCAGGATTGCCACAAAACTGGAAATCAGGAAAATGTCAGGAAAATTAAAAACGGAAATCAGCGAAAAGTTAGGAAATTTTGCAAAATTTTATAGAAAATTAAAATTCTTGGCTTTAATCTGGTTATATTTACGGGACCCCGTCAATTTGACGGATTTCGGATTTCACGACCAAAATTACAGAAACTTACTACTACTTCCTGGCAATTTTTGCTGACTTTTAGTAATAATGGAGTGGTATAAATACATACAAATTTATTTCCTCCTCAGTTTTCTAATTTTGAAATTCTGTATTTAGTATTTACTTATTTCTTCGGATACCCATCAAATTAACGGGTGACGAGTCTCGTAAAGCTATAAGTATTAAAGAAGTTCAATATATAACACCTACGCAGTTTGGGAATACTACTAATTTAACAATTACAAATGAAAGCAGCAACGTTAATAGTAATTCATATTGCTAATCAAATTGATCTTAACAAAACATTTAACGGTTTCCAAATCAGGATGGAGATACAAAAAATTTCAAAATATTATTCAAAGTCAGGGAAAAGTTTAGGACGAGGAACCTATGACAACCTTATTTATCTTTTTTTTTTCGTTCTTAGATTTGAAGAAAAATAAAAAGTAAGTCAAGCCGAGATTAAGATCGATTCACATTGATAGAAGCAGGGATAATGGAATTGTACTCAAGTGCACGATTAATCGCGCACTCGCCTCGCCGCGATATTACCTGCAAGTATATCTCTCGCGCAATTGCGTTCATGACTAAAAATAGTGCAGCGGTTGCGGGGGCACCTCGCGCCGCTGTGCGTCACCGCTTTTGTCGGCGCAACGATAACAACCAGATTCCGGGGTATATCTGTGACATGTGCTCGTGAAATTTGGGGGCCCGTATAATGGGTTGCGAGCGTCGCGTCAAGGTTAGATAATAACTTTCTTGCATCAGCGGCGCACACCATTCTCAGATAGTGCGCGCGGATGTGTGCGCGCGTGTATGTTAACTACGGGAAACCGGTTGGTGCGCACTAAATCGGACTACGGGCTACTATTTTTTCCTCGCCGTTACGTCCGACTTAATGGCTTTCACGTGTATACCATGTTCTTATTTTTATTCCGGAGTTCTTCCAGCGTGCCGTGTCTCTCTCTCTCCCCCCCCCCTCTCTCTCTCTCTCGGTTTGTTTTTTGTTCGCGTCCTCCACGATCGAATGCGAGGAATGTTTCGCCGAAAACGAAAGTTAACTGGTCCGCGAATACTTCCTACACTCTTATCTTTTGTTGGTATTTATAGTCCGTTCTTATTTCAAGACGAACGTCTCGCGATGTCATGAACCAATCAGAGAGCCGCATTAGCATCTTAAGACATTACTTAAAACGGTTTGTAAATAAAATAAAAAACAGATTTGAACACGGCCTATGATTGGTTCACGACATCTTAAGAGTACACTTAAGACAGTCTTTTAATATAAGAATCGATTATGAATACAGACTTCAGTTCGACTTCAGTATGCATGCTCAGTGTTGGCACGGAATGCGTAGTCCACGGTTCACCGATTAGTATTAGCAGGAAGGAAAATTTTTACCATGGAGAAATAAAAAATATCCTCTCTCTCTCTCTCTCTTCGATCTTTCGAATAATTTTTACAATTTGTTTTATTCGACTTGACTTTAGATAGAGGCGCGGTATGCCGATGATTGTGGTATGCATTGATAATATAATTTCCGCGGACGGCTCGCGCGACCAACTCACGTGTATTTTCAACGTGTGTTGCGAGAGTTGCCAAGCGCGGCCAACGCGGCGCAAAAAAGGAGCGGCGCCGCGGCGCGTTCTTCGTTTATCGGCTCTCCTCTACATTGTCGACTAATCTCGGTAATGCGGTGTAAACAGCGCTATTTACTTCGTGCGAAACGTTACGTGCGCCCGCGCGCGAAGCTACGCGCCTGTCGCAACTTAAGTTTTCATAACAACACGTTACATAACGGCGCGTTAGTCATCGTGCGACCAACCGATGTAAATTCTATCATCGGATCTAACGAGGAGCTCAAATACCGTGACGATGCGGTATTTCGAAAAAAAAAAGACTCGTTGTTTAATGCGAAACGCGATAACCGAATAACCGTGGTAGGTAAATAATATATGTATATTCGGATGACTTTTTAATGTATATGTGGACATTTATCGTGCGTGATATGTAAAAATAGACTACACTTAAACTCAAACGTGCTATTTACTACTTTGTTGTGACGGTTGGTAGAATTACATATATAACGTCTGGCGCCAACGATTACGTGAGCGACGAAGAATGAACTTTATATTTCTGTAACATATGTTTTTCAGATCGTAGTCATACTTTGGAATAATATAGTTTTTTTTTCGGTACACGTAAGATATAATTAATAATTATGTAATATAGTTATACTTTTGTCGTAATTCAGTTAATTATAAATTTATCTTTATATACACAGTTTCGCGTGAAGACGTGAGTTTTTTTCTGTTTTAAAATTACTTACCTGATTTTTCATTATCTGGTTAACTTGTGGTTTAGGTTTATCCTCACTTAACATTAATGATAATGTAAAAATTATTTTTCTAGCTGTAATTAATCATTAAATCAATGGTTTTGTAGTAGTAACTTTAAAAGTTATTTACTATACAAAACCATTAATGTAGTATAATTAATCATAGATAGAAAAATACAATTTTTACGTTATCACCGGATTAAATCGGACCTAACCACAAGTTAACCAGCGAATGAAAAACCGGGCCACAGTGGTTCTTCAATTCGTGTTGACAAAGACCAAATATGAGAGAATAACAATCGTCGTCGAGAGTCGCAGAATCAATGTAATGCCCGAATTGTTTATTACGTTCCATCGAACTTATCTTTGGAAAAATTGTCTCATGATTCTACGTTTGAAAAATGTGGGGATTAAACCGATCTCGATAAATAGCAATATGTAGTCGTCTGATAACAGAGTTACAAGTCGAATAGCGCATTGCATAATGCAAATGAGCGTTTCCCTTCCCTTCCCCTCACAGAAAACCGTCGTCGCCTGCCTTGGACGGTGCGCAATATTTTCGTGACCCTCGACTGACATTGCCAAACAACCAATACAGGCGGCGATAGAGGGACGGTCTCGCTAGAGTGGAGGCCAAGGTCATAGCTGATCCCCACTTTACCGTTCGCCACTGTGTTGACGCCTATCGCTCGCGCGTTCGCTCGCTTGCTCGTCTTCCTGGTGACGCAACTGTGTTGCACAGCTCGATCCGACCCATTATGGTCGTCGTTGTAATTCTCTCGCTCGCACTGAGTATCCTGGAGAGGCCACCTCACTGGCGCCTGTGGTCGTTCTATTTTATCGTTTTAATTTACTGTGCCTCTGTAGCGGAATCTTCTACAAGTCGAGCCGAGACCGTCATTGATTCGTGTTACGTTGAATGTTACGCAACTGAAGAAGCCGGTGTGTTTACTCGTAGGTGTCAGAATTCTACGATCGTAGAGAATGATTGATCTTCCCGTATAATCGAGTATTATTCTCGACTTATTAGCTGAAATTAAATCCGTTGCGGAACATTTTATTATTTTTGTAATTATAATTTGAACGATCAAGAAATTATGAATGAAAAATATTGATCTGGCGTTTATATATTGTTGAATATAATTTATTGCAAAAATGTTTCTATTTGTTTAAAGATAACCGTTGAGGTTTCAAAAGCACTTAGATTTTTTTTTAATTGAATCAATATTATACCTAACAAAGTTTTATATATCCCGTCATGTAATCGGTCTATAACATGTTTTCGCCGAAGGTAAATTATGCCCCTCTGCTTGGGAAACTTTTGGTTTTTTCTATGACGAGTGATATAGGGCTGGGTAAAAAACAGCACACATACGCGCTTAGAAATACTTGGTGTTCGCTTTGCATAAAGGAAGCATGAGACTCGTACGACTGAGGGTCGTACTGTTGGTGTCCTTGAAGGGAGAATTGTCAAGTGACAGGCCGAGGGTCCGAAGTTATTATGAATCACGAAAAATTCACTGGAACACTAACTTTTCGTTTGCAGCCCTTTAAAGGGTTCATTACGACTCTGACGACCCATGTCTTTCAATCATTTCTCTACTAGGCATATATTTCGATAGAGAGAAAGTAGATTTAAATATATTAGAATGCGTCGAATATACATAAATAATATGGGACCACAAGCAATGTTCATTTCACGTTGAAAATATATTACATAGATACATTTAAAAAAATATTAAATTTTAATAAATATTGATTTGAATAGTTATTGAGCAAACATTTATTTACTGTAAGTTAATGTCTACTTGTGCTATTCAAAGAAATATATATATTATAAGTTAACAATTTTTTTCAATGTAATACATATGTATAGTATATCCTGGTTTTTATCGTATTTATTTAACGCCACGTAAAACTCTGTTTTATCTACTTGCAGACAAAGCTGCGGCGCCAACGGTATCTTTTCGCGTCGTCTGGATTTCAGCGCTTTCAACAGTCTGCCCCGCACCAAGCTTAACTCCTATCATATTAAGGTAAGTAATTAATTATTTTATATATATATATATATACACACACTTTTTCACGTCGTGAATTTCGCTTACGAGGCGTTGAATTACGACGCGTTGCTTCGTAAGTGGAATGGACTGACTGGATCTTCAAGAAGTGATAAATCGTTTACAACATTCACAAAACATGTCACGCAACATTATACTGACAGAGCAGGAATCTTTTTAATTGCATTGAAGCGAAAAAAACAAATCATTACTATTTTTTATCATGCACCGATGAAACGTAATAATTTAGCATTTACATATAATTAAGTACGGATTTAATTAAATGCATTTTTAATGTTTTCATCATTAATGCATATAAGCGTTTTGAATAAGGTATAAAAACCTGGATGGAGAATTAAACTAGTATCGACGATCAGGTTTAATCTCGTCGTAGGAATTCATTAAATTAATTTCAACCGGGAGAGGCTGTCCTTTCCAAGCGTAAATCAGGCATGAGCTACGCCCCTGGCGAATCCTTTCGCATCCCGTCCTGTAACACTGTCGTCCTACCCTAAATACGCAGAGAAATCAATACCCGAGCAGTCCAAGTAGTGTGCATGTGTCTCTTTGCGCGCGCACGTACAGACATACGTATATGTACTTGCGTTACGTATGTTTATATATGCCGGCGTTAAAGAATACTTTTACTCTCTTATGCTTTTCCCTTGACCTGCTACTCGTTGTGAAAAATCCTCTTGCTCGAACGTCAATTAACGTCAACCCTGGTTAATGACTTATCCATCTGTATCATAGGTAGCACAGGTAATCCGGAAAAAGGTAAAGAATATCATTAACGAGGTTGTCACTATAAGTCAATCCAATCAACGCGATCCGTTTATGCTGATATTTATTTAGTTTATTTAGTGCTGATCCTGCTTAACACTGATTTTCCTTATTTGTTTTTATTACAAAGATACAATAAGTTTGAAAGAGAGTGAATCATTATTTCAGAATTATACAGAGCGTGATTCTGTTAAAAAAATGTAATGCGCATGTCATAATTTATTCGCGAATTTTGTACCTAAAAAATAGATTAAAAAAAAACATTTTTTAGATATAGAATATAAATGTATTTATTTTTATATTTGTTTGATTGTGTGTTATTTTAATTATTTAATTATTTAATTATTTAATTATTATCCATTGAAATATTAAATGCTGATGCAGACGTAACTTTTGCATCAATGAACAAACATTATTATCAAATATATCAATAAATTATATTTATATAAATTAATTTTATAGAAAATTATGCAGTTTGCGTGAATTATAAAAGAGATTTCAATTTGTAGCTTCTAACTTCGACATGTTAATACGACAAATAACAAGCTTTCAGTATATTTTCCGTCGATAAAATATTGTGTCTGCTTTCGATCTATTATGTAACAGAAGGCTTTCTTGAGGGAGGCTCCATAAGTGATGCACATTTTAACCCCTGTTCCGTAATGCCTAACAAAATTTGACCTAAGACCTGGACTCGACCTCCAAATTGTCTGCCATTTTGCTGCTTTGCGGGAACGGAAAAAGAAAAGATAACTCGTAAAGCAACTATTCGGCTCTTCCCTCTGAACTAGGATACGCGTTTTTGCAGAGTTTCAAATAACTTGTCTTGTGATAGACCCATCCGGACTGTAGTCTTGTTAGAAGATCTGCCAGCACACAATCCTGACAATTAAAGCAGTTAATGACGCGGCTAATTAACGTCTACGATACGTTCTTGGTACAAATTCGATGACGTTACATTCGCTGTAACTATATTATTCGTAACTATTGCTGTATATTATTGACAAGAAAAATTCGAGCGATTATTCATTCGACTTTTTATGCGCGGGATTATTTGTCGCGGTCATAAAATCAGTCGTAACTATGATTGAGGAACAATTTTGCTCATGCTTGATATAATAACGTAATAACGTAATAATGTTACCGCTGAAGATATCTAAATATCATATGCAATTGAATTATTGAATTAATATTGAAATGAAGGCTTTTTAACGCGCTATGCATTCCTTCGCACTTTACGCCGCGACATTAGAATGCGCAATTGTAAGGCGTATAATATTTTTGCGTCGCACTCTTTTATCGACGAGTTGTTGCGCAATAAGGCTCTCCGTGGCTGTTCTCGAGCGTGTTTCACCGACGAACTGGCGGCGGCTGCTGGTTCCAGTTTTTCAATAATACCGGTTCTCTCAGCTTCACCGGCCGGCCTAACGAGAGCCGTTAGGTAACTCGAGGGAGATCGATCTCGTGCGAGTGTGTGTGCACGTATTACTGTGCAGCGACAGAGGAGGGTGCACGGGAAAGGGGACAGAGGAGCCTGGAGGAACCAGAGCATCATTGTAAACCGCTGGAAGCTCTTGAAACACTCCGAGTCCTCCCATGGCAACCGCGTCCCCGCAACAATCGTCCTGATCTCTCTCTTCTTTCTCTATCTCGCGTAACCCTTTCCGCGTATCGAGGGTGGGTTACCCCTTTCTGCGTTGTGCGTTGCGATGTGAATTACAAAATGCGAGGTTTGCCTTTTGTGCGCTTAATACCGATGCGCAGCGACGTTCCCTGGAGTCACTTAAGACCCGAGGATTGCCACTGTGAATTGGAAGTCATAGCGATAACTTCTTCGTTAATACCCTCCGTTAAGACGTCGTTGAGGCGAGGGAGAAAAAAAAAATGAATCTTCCGAATGTTCTCCATGCTTCTATCGTCGCGTCGTTTCAATGAATTTCTTTCGCGATTCTTGTTCGCTATAGTCGCTTTGGATGCTCTCTAATGCCCGTATTCGTAGTCAGAGCTAGTATTTAAGATTTCCTTAAATTTAGATGTAATAGCCAATGAAATAATTCGTAGAGCATCTGAAGATAAATTTAAGGAAAGCTTTAAATAAGGCCCGACTATGAATACGGGCATAAATCTCGTGGAGTGAAATCTCACTCGAAGAGACTGAAAATTGAGCCAATCTTGAAAAAAAAGTGAAAAAAAATACTATCACTCTTGTTCAAGAGTGGCAGATTTTTATTCTTTTTAGAGTGAGATTTACTCTTCTGGAATGAGATTCACTCCAAAGGAGTAAAATCTCAGTCCCTTTTTTGGAGTGAAGTTTCATCTATCCTGAGGTATTACACTCCAAAAAAGGAATTGGATCCTCTCACTCTAAAAAGAGTGAAAATCTGCCATTCTTCAACAAGAGTGGTAGTATTTTCACTCTGTTTTCAAGACTGGCTCAATTTTCTCTTCGAGTGAGATTTCACTCCACGAGATTTAGAGAGTGCGCATGCTGTAAGCTTCATTCTATTTTCTTTCCGCAAATTGTGAGTAATAAAGATACACTAAAAAATAATGTAGCAACAGTATTATTTTAATTTAAAATAATCATGTTGATTTATATTCAATAACAGTATAATAAAACAAATAAAATTTTATTAAAACAAGAACATGACATATTTGTTTCATTAACAGTGTCATTTGATTAACAACGTTATTTTCAATTAAAGTGATGCTGGATATAACCATCATCTTTTTCCGTGTGTAGAATGAAGCTTACAATATGTGAGCGTTCAAATCAAATATAGCCTTTGCAATAGTAATACACGCTTACAGAGAATATTGGAATTTGCGAAAATACATGAAACTTCTTTAGGAAATAGAGTGGAGGCGCGCCCATGTGTGCAAATCGCGACAGACGTTACAAATTCCATGTGAACGACCTCGTGGCTGTGTCTAGCAATAAATCGGACAGGAAGAGTAGTGGAAATAGGAAAGTGGCGTGCTACGATGCAGTAACTCGACACGTGGCTTATATAGATGCTAAAACTAGGAGTGGTCCGCGACTCGACTCGGCCGTTGTGCTTGTGAAGTTAGCACGACATTCTATTAATATAAAAAAAAATACTGACAATTTCAGTAACGGTTTTCATAGTTCTTCAGTTTCCTATCAAAATAGAAAAAGCATTTTTTATATTAAAAAATCAAAATTGAAAATGTAGCAGAATTCTATATTCTACAATAATTTTTAAAAGAGTTCCGGTTGCTACTTTTTCAACAGATCCTTTGCTAGCATTCGTTTATATTCGTCTCGTCACGTTTTTGTTCATCTCTGTACGCAACAAAAGCGGTCAATGTTCGTAGGGTACCTAATAACAACACGATGTCTCACGTATCCGAAGTCTGCAGCTAACAGCGATGTTTACAGCTCACTGTATTTTATTTCGCAACGTGTTATTTTTTCCCGGCTGATCTTTAATCGGCAATGCAATTTCATGCCATAAATCCGCACCCATTATCCGTTTTGATTTTCCAGGTAATTAAAACGTTTACTGCTTTATACTGTAAACGTTGCGGAAACGTACCCAGCATGTGCGTATCGTTTATTTTTATGTAACTCCCGCAGCTTCGTGAATTTCTCTCCGAGGTGCACGAGACGGTTGAACGACCCGAATATTATCATTTCGTCGAATACTCGATACGCTAAGCGTTACATCGGTGCGATAGTTTATTATTGCAGTCCGTCGCACGAACCGCGGCTCTTTATCTCGCGACTCGGTAAATATTGTTTCTTGGGCGCTGTGACGAAGATAAATGCATCGAATGTCAGCGGCGCCAGCTTGCAGAAAATACTGAACCGGCAAAATGTCAAGCGCACAATACTCGGTTTCTTTCACCTACTGTTCTTGCATAATTAAAGTTGCACAAGATGAATAATATATAAATAACCTGCAGTATTTCACAATAAAAAATTAACAATAACAATGAGAATAATTAATTAAAGTGTGAATGACTTATTATATACTATATAATAAATTTTTTAAAAGAAATTACAGTAAAGTTCGTTCAAATAAGACGTGAGAGAGGCAGTATTGTCTCTTCTTCGAAACGAGTTTTGAGCGAATGAAGTGCCTCACCAAAACCGACGCTTATGCCGAGCATTATATTTCACCGTTGTGAACGTATTACATCGCTCTCATTATCTCAGCCTAGCTCAACTC